CCCTTTTTCATACTGTTCATGGGGTTCTCAAGGCAAGAATATGGAAGTGGTTTGCCATTCCCTTCTCCAGTGGACCACATTTTGTCAGAACTCTCCACCATGACCTGTCTGCCTTGGGTGGCCCTACACGGCATGGCTCCATTGAGTTAGACAAGGCTGTGGTCCATGCATGAGATCAGGTTGGTTAGTTTACTGTGATTGTGGTTTTCAGTCTGTCTGCCCTCTGATGGAGAAGGACAAGAGGCTTATGGAAGCTTCCTGATGGGAGGGACTGACTGAGGGGGAAACTGGGTCTTTAACTTATATGCAGAGTACATCATAGGAAACGCTAGGCTGGAGGAAGCACAGGCTGGAATCAAGATTGCCGGGAGAAATATCAATAACCTCAGATACGCAGATGACACCACTCTTATGACAGAAAGTGAAGAAGAACTAAAGAGCCTCTTAATGAAAGTTAAAGAGGAGAGTCAAAAAGTTGGCTTAAAGCTCAACATTCAGGAAACTAAGATCATGTCATCCAGTCCCATCACTTCGTGTCAAATAGATGGGGAAATGGTGGAAAAAGTAGCAGACTTTAGTTTTCTGGGCTTCAAAATCACTGCAGATAGTGACTGCAGCCTTGAAATTAAAAGACGCTTACTCCTTGGAAGAAAAGTTATGACCAACCTAGACAGCATATTAAAAAGCAGAGACATTACTTTGCCAACAAAGGTCCGTCTGGTCAAGGCTATGGTTTTTCCAGTAGTCATGTATGGATGTGAGAGTTAGACCATAAAGAAAGCTGACTGCCGAAGAATTGATGCTTTTGAGCTGTGGTGTTGGAGAAGACTCTTGAGAGTCCGTCCCTTGGACTGCAAGGAGATCCAACCAGTCCATCCCAAAAGAGATCAGTCGTGGGTGTTCATTGGAAGGACTGATACTGAAGCTGAAACTCCCAATACTTTGGCCACCTGATGCGAAGAGCTGACTTATTGGAAAAGACCCTGATGCTGGGGAAAATTGGAGGCAGGAGGAGAAGGGGACACAGAGGATGAGATGGTTGGATGGCATCAACTCAATGGACATGAGTTTGAGTAAACTCTGAGTTGGTGATGGACAGGGAAGCCTGGCATGCTGCGGTCCATGGGGTCACAAAGAGTCGGACACGACTGAGTGACTGAACTGAACTGAACTGATAGGGCTTCCCAGGTGGCACTAGTGGTAAATAACCCACCTGCCGATGCAGGAGATACTAGAGATGTTGGTTTGATCTTGGGATGGGAAGATCCCCTGCAGGAGGACATTGGAACCCATTCCGGTATTCTTGCCTGGAGAATCCCATGGACAGAGGAGCCTGGCGGGCTACAGTCCTTGGGGTCGAAAAAGAGTCAGACAGGACTGAGCAGCTGACAGTTTCAGTTTCACACGACCTGGTAGGTTTTGAGGTAGGAGGCCCCCGTGGACACCGTGCCTGCTACCAGGAAAGTGTGCACAGCCCTCACCCCAGCAGAGCCCCCAGAGCCTGGGGACACCACCTCCCCGCTCCAGGCAGCCACTAGCCTGTCACTGGTGTCCAGGTCTGCATGTCTTGTTTGTAAAAGTTTTTCGGATCCTTAGTTCCCTGATCAGGGATTGAACCTGTGTCCTCTGCATTGCAAGCATGGAGTCCTAACCCCTGGACTGCCAGGGAAGTCCCTTTTATAGTTTTTATATGAAGGGAATCAGAAGGGGGGTTGTCCCCGGTTTGGGGGCTTACCGGGAAAGCACATATGTATGGGCATGAATGTCCACCCCCACCCCCCACTTAGGGCAGTACCTGGGGATGCAGGGGCTGGGCACAGGCTGGCGGTGGGGGGAGTGTCCTGGGTCCCCCACCCCCCGCCCTCGCCAGCACCTGGTGTGTCTCCGTCTCACTGTGGTTTCGTTTGCATCTCCCCTGGGACCGGTGATGTTGGGCATATTTCTGTGTGTTTATTTGCTGTGCGCGTTTTTTCTGTGGTAAAGTGTCTGTTCAGGCTCAGGTTTTCGTGAGGTTTCTTGGCCTGTTTTTTAAAAATCGGGTTGTTTGTTTTCTTGCTGAGTTTTGGAAGTTCTTGACACCTTTTGGGTCTGGGACCTTGTTAGCCATTTGCCAGCACCTGTCCATGCTAGTCTCTGAAGAGCAGGCTTCTTTCAGAGTTGGGGGTTTTCTGGGCTCCCGCCCTGCCCTCCTGGGGTGGGCTTGGGGGGGTTGCAGTGCTGCTTTGCCCGTCCACTGTAGGTGACCGTAGGTGAGTGCTCACCACCCCTCAGACTGGGCTGGTCACCACCACCACTGCCTTCCTCAGGCCCGCCCCAGCGGGTGTGTGCGGGGCCTGGAATGGCCGAGGAGGGGCACTCTAGCACCAGGCTCCCCCTGCACTGTTGGCCCCTCCGGAGGGTGGGGGGGCACAGGGAAGTCTGGAGAGCGCAGCCCCCCTGTACATCCCAGCATCTGTGCTGGGAAGCCCTTCCCGAGGCAGGAGAGGTGGGGGCTCTGCTTGACCCCCGGACCCCCTGCCTTAGCGTCTGGGGGTGGGGCAGGCGTGACCCTCACCACTTCTGTTAGGACCAGGAGCCCCACATGGGCCTGAGCCTTGGGCCCCTGGGGTGAGGGGCTGCAGGGGGAAGATGGGGGTTCCAGCGCAGCCAGGGGGCGGGAGGGGCCCCTCCACACTCGGCACCCCTTGCCGTGGGGACACCGAGGCTGAGTCGGGGTTTGGGGCCCGGCCTCTGGGGCCACAAAGGGAGGCCTGGATGAGGCTCCCCACCCAGCTCTCTCGTCCCGGACGCTCACAAAGCGCTCTCTGGACCACAGTTTCCAAACAGAATAAGTGGTGGTTTCCAGCCAGAGTTACCACGGCAACCCTCAGCCTCACCACCGGCAACCCTCAGCCTCACCACCTGCAACCCTCAGCCTCACCACCGCCTCCCCTGGAGGCGCAGATGGCAGCCGGTTGAGCCAGGAGCCGGGACTCCCTCCGGAGCCGCCCGTCTCACCCCCCCCCCCCCCCGCCTCCCCTGCTCCGGTCCCCTGGGCCCTCCCACCCTCTCGCAGGTGTGATGGGCACCTGGGGCAGCCTCAGGAGGCCTGCGGCCCGGGCATTGCCCTTAGCGGGGTTTGCAGGGCCCAGGTGCCTGGGAAGGACCCTGCTGGTCCCACGTGATGCCCTCGGTTGGGGAGTGGCGGGGGGCAGCGAGCGCGGCAGCGCCTCCATCCTGGGGGGGTGGGGTTTGGGGGTGCCGCCCACTCCAGGGAGGGTGGCCAGCAGCATCCCCTGGCAGGGGCAGCCCTGTTGCTGCCAGGCGCCAACGGTCCCCAACGGTCCCCACCTTATCATGCGCGGAGCCAGCCCAGTGTGGGAGGGCCTGGGCGGGGCTGCGAGCCTCCCGCCCCAGCAGTGCCCCATGTCCCCTGCCGGGAGATCCCTGGGGGCAGCCCGTGGGGCCGGGGCCTGGTGTCCCTCTTGCTCCACTGAGCATGGCCCCTGATGGTGACTTTGGGCCCCACTCGGGGGCCAGCACTGGGCCGGCCAGGTGGTTTTCTTGGGGCCTGTGTTTTGTTTTCTCTTCCTCTTTGGACAGCGATCCGACGGTCTGTATAGGAGCTGGTGCTTCTAGCTCCAAAGACAGGCAGTGCCTCGCTGGTGGGGGAGCCCGGGGGCGCCTGCCTGGCCGGGTCAGATGCTCCGACGCGGGCCTGGCCTCGGTGCACCCTCAAGGGCAGACCCCGCCTACCCCTGAGCCTCCGTCCTCTGGGGGGTGAGTCAGCCGGAAGCCCCCACCCCCACGCCAGGCTCTGCAGGAGCCCCTCCTTCCTGCCTGCTCTCAGGGCGGCCCCGCCCCTGGCTGTCTGGGGAGCACAGCGAGCTTCTTCCTCCTCCAGTGGCCTCCCTCTCTCAGACAGCAACCAGCAGCCTCTGCTCTAATCCCCCCGCCCAGGCCCGGTGGCATCAGCTTGCCACCCCGCACCATGTCCTGGCAGCAGAGACTTGGCGTTCCCTCCGTGGAGTTCCCGGACGAGCTGGCTCAGGGCAGTGCCACCCCCTCGGGGGAGGGCTCGGCCTTCCCCAGGCCGCGGGCCCCGGTTCGGCCTCTGGCCAGATTTAGCAAGTAAAACACAGGGCATCAGGTAAACTTCCGCTGCAGGTGAACAGTGGGTGCCGTTTTGGCATGAGTGTGTTCCGGGCAGTGTTTGGGACACACCTGATACTAAAGAAATGTTTGTGAATAACCAGGTGTCTGAGTCTCATCTGACACCCTGGCCCGCAGTCTCCCGTGGTACTTGGTGGGAGGGTCTGCACGAGCCCCCAGTCCCCCTACCGAAGCCCGCCTGGGGCGTCTGGAAAACCAAGGGGGCAAAGCAGACATGAGGCAGCGGGCAGCCCAGACCCCAGGGCCTGTGAGCCCAGGGTCCTGTGACCCCAGAGTCTGTGACCCCTGGGCCCTGTGAGCCCAGGGTCTGTGACCCCAGAGTCTGTGACCCCAGGACCTGTGAGCCCAGGGTCCTGTGACCCCAGGGCCTATGAGACCAGGGTCCTGTGACCCCAGAGTCTGTGACCCCCGGGCCCTGTGAGCCCAGGGTCTGTGACCCCAGGGTCCTGTGAGCCCAGAGTCTGTGAGTAGGGCCTGTGACCCCAGAATCTGTGAGCCCAGCCAGGGTCTGTGAGCCCAGGGCCCTGTGACCCCCGGGCCCTGTGAGCCCAGGGTCTGTGACCCCAGAGTCTGTGACCCCCAGGCCCTGTGAGCCCAGGGTCTGTGACCCCAGAGTCTGTGACCCCCAGGCCCTGTGAGCCCAGAGCCTGTGACCCCAGGGCCTGTGAGCCCAGGGCCTGTGAGCCCAGAGTCTGTGACCCCAGGGCCCTGTGAGCCCTGCCCTTGGTGCTGACCCAGCAGAGGGAGGGCCCAGGACCCGCCTCTCTCTGCACCTCTGCATGGGGGATTCACATGTACCACAGCCAGTCTCTGAGCCACATGTGACCAGTGCCCTGCTCTCTCCCCAGCTGGCTGGAGGTGTGATACTGGGCGTGGCCCTGTGGCTTCGTCATGACCCGCAGACCACCAACCTCCTGTATCTGGAGCTCGGAGACCGGCCCGCCCCCAACACTTTCTATGTGGGTAAGTGAGGGGATGGGCTGCAGACCCTGGGCAGCTCTGTCTGGGCTGGGAGGCGGCAGGAACGGGCCACTGGGGGGTGTGATGGTAGCTCAGTCAGGCTGCAGACAGGTAGCCAGGAGGGCTTCCAGGAGAAGGCGACTCACTGGGGCTTGCTTCTCCCTGGGGCAGGGAGGACGAGGCCCCCCAGCAAGAGCTCGGGGGTGGGGTGGGGGGTTACGTCAGCCTGGGGGCCCCGAGGGGCCTGGGCGCCCTCTGCAGTTGTGCCAGGGCCTGCCTGGGCCGGGGTGCTCCCAGGGAAAGCTGGATCCCCTCTGGTTGGGGATGGGAGCCAGGGCGGGAGAGCGGCAGCTGGGTGGGGGCGGGGCGCTGCCTTTCAGGGAGGCTCCTGGGCGGGTGGGGCTAGATGCCTGGGCTGCCTGGGGCCCCACCGGCTGCCTTATTAGGCCTCGGCCCTTCAGGCATCTGTCAGGCTGGGTGTGGGGTGGGGGCCCCCAGGGGCAGGGGTTCTGCCTCCCACTGTGTGCAGCTGTGCCCCTCCTTCCAGTCCCGCCCCCCCCCCCACCGCTCCCAAGATGGGCCTGGCTCCCGGAGAGATCAGGGAGGGTGTGCGGAGATGCTTCTGTCCCCATAGGCAGAGCAGCAGGCAGGAAGCCTGCAGGGCTCCTGTGGGGCCCGTGACCACCCGCCGCCCTGCGTGGACCCTGCAAGGGGTCCCAGTCCTTCCCAGGCGCTGCTTGGGGGCCCTCATACTCGGGATACATGCTCGGCTGCTGGGCTGGGGGTGGCCCACACTCACCATCCCACTCGGGCGCCCCAGGGCCATGGAGGTCCTCTTTGGGCCGGGCCCCGGGAGGGCTGGAGCCCGTGGTCTGGTGGCGGTCTCTGGGGCCAGCCCTCCACAGAGGGTCTCCAGCCCTTGTCCGCAGGATCCCCGGCTCCCCACCCCCAGGCTGCGGGGCCCCCTCAGGTCTGAGTCTCAGGCAGAGAGCATGGGTGTACGCACCTAGAGAGTGCACAGGGGACCGTGACCCGCCTCCCCCGCCACCACATGCCAGGCACCCTCAAGAGCCAAGCGGTCAGCCTTGCCCACTCATCTGAGGACGCACAACTGTTCTCTGAGGCCTCTGGATGCTCGAGGGGTTTCTCCCCGGGGCTCCTCCCAGGCCTCTCCTCCCCCTCCTCAGGGCCCGCCCCCGCGTGGCCACAGTCCTCTGTCCGCGTACGCCTCTCCGAGCTCTCGGTGCGGGGCCGTGGGCTCCCCAGGCGCACCGTTGGGGAAGGCAGTCCCTCTCCTCGTGGCTCGGCTGGCTCCTGCTCTCAGCCCAGTGTGTGGCCTGGCAGCCGGGAGAGGAGCTGGAGGCCGCCTGCCTCAGGCTAGACGGGGCAAGGGTGGCAGCGGGCTGCAGACCTGGGTGGCCCCGCACGGCCCCCTGGGGACACAGCCCGGGGCAGACGAGTGGGGGTCTGGGGAGACCTTGGCAGAAGACTGGAGGCTGGGGGCTGGGCCCAGGCCGCGGTGGGAAGGGTCCTGCAGGGAGGCTTGTGGGGGGCATGGCTGGCATTGCCGGTGCCCCTCCAGCCCGTTCCGCCACATCACGCCTTTGCTGGGCCTGAGGGCGCCCTCAGGGAAGGAGTGAAGGCGTGCTGGGCCACCCGGTGGGCTGGGAACCGGCCCCTGGTCCCAGGCTTCTGCCACGCCACCACACCACCATGCCACCAGGGGAGGGGGCCTCTCAGGGCCCCTCTGGCTGCAGTGTCCCTGCCCACCCGGGGCCCGCCTTCCGGAACCCCCTGGCTGGCTCCGATGCAGACAGGGCCTGCCAGGGAGGTGGGGGCAAACATGGGCCCTGACATGAGCTCTCTGTCCACTGCCGGGAAGTCAGGGTGGTCAGCGAGGCTCCAGCAGCACCCGGGCCATGCGGCAGGGCCCGGGAGGGTCCCTGGCCTCACTGGTCAGAGCAGAGCCCACTGCAGTGGGAAGCCTGGCACTGTGGGGGGACTGGGGGCCGGCACCTGCCAGGGTGCCCGTCCCTGGCACCCTGTGCCATCCCGCTGAACCTCAGGGAGGGCCATGGGGATGGGAGTCTCGGAACCTGGTCGTGTCCCAAGTGAGGAGTCCCTGGAGCTTTCCCTTGGCCAGGTCCACTTGGGGTCGCCCAGAGGTTCTGTCTGGCCCAGAGGGGACCTCAGGCTTCTTCTGAGCCTGGCAGTGGGTCCCAACTCCCAGACTTCTCCAGAGACTGGCCAGGCAGGGCCAACAGGCCCTTGGCACCACAGCCCTGGGACCTGGTGTCCTAGCTCTGTCCTAGCTTCGCCTGCTGCGTAACCATGGCAACTGGGGGCAGGGGGTGGGCCCAGGTCTGCTGGAAGGCCTAGGGTTGTGGGAAGTCTTTGGAGAGACGTGGTCAGTGTTTCAAGGGGCGAAGGCCACTTGTGGGTGGGCTGCAGACTCAGGGAAGGGCTGTGTGGCCATCAGTGAGTGCTGGGCAGGCCAGGAGGACAGACTGACCCTGTGTGTCGCCCTCAAGTGAGGGGGGCCGGCAGACCCCAGGTCTCCGCTTCGCCCCCCAGGCCAGTAGCTCGGGCCCTTGGCACCGAGAGACGGGTGACTCTCCAAGGCCCACCAACCAAGCCCTGGAGGCTCTCAGGAATCAGAGTGCATACAGGTGGTGGGGTCAGGCTGAGGCCCCTGAAAATTCATGCCTGGCCATTCGGCCCTGGCCTCGGCGATGCCTGCCTCCCTCCACGTCACAGAGGAGGGAGCTGAGGCCCACAGAGGTGCCCACACGGCCCTGCCAGGCTGCTTCCCCCTCGAGGCTCCTCTCCAAGCCGCTGACCTGGGTGTCTGACCTCCTCCCAGCAGGGTGGGCGCCAGCGCCTGGCGGGCCCTCTCGAGCCCCAGGCAGTGCTGTGCGTGCCCAGCACAGGGAGCAGGGCTTCTGGGGGGCCGGGGCTCCGGGGCGGTGGGCCACTGAGGGTGCCCTCTCTCTCCGCGGCAGGCATCTACATCCTTATTGCCGTGGGTGCCGTGATGATGTTCGTTGGGTTCCTGGGCTGCTACGGGGCCATCCAGGAGTCCCAGTGCCTCCTGGGCACGGTAAGGTCCTGGGCTGGGCATGGGGTGGGGTGGGGGCCGGCCAGGGGGCAGAACCAGGAGCTCGGTGCCAGCGTGGCCCTGCGAACCTCCTGTGAGTGCCAGCTCTCCGGCTGCCCCAGTTTGTTCTCAGACCCCACCGTGGCAGATGGCCACTATGGCTTCCTGGTTGTAAGTCCCAAAGTTGCTTCTCTCTCTCTTCTTTCTTAAAACGAGCAACAGATACGGTAAAGGGTGAGTCCCCACTGCAGGACCAGCATCAGGTGTCCCTGGAAAGTCACCCACCCACAGGAAGCACAGGCCTGTCCGTACTGCCCAGGGCCTGGCGTCTGGGCAGTGTGGGCTGGGGAATCTGTACCTGTGTCTCTGTGGGGGGCTCCCGGGTGCACCACAGTGACCCCATTCCCACCAGCTTTGCTCCCTGTCCCCTCCCACCTGCCCAGAGCCAGCCTTGCCCTCCCCCCACGCAGCCGAACTGTCCTCTGGAGCCCAGTCCCTCGGGGCTGATGAGAAGGGTGGCAGGTCAATACCTGCCCAAGTCCCAGACACCGCTTCACACGGTTCATCCCCGTCAGGGCTGGGGTGGGTGGGTGCCGCCGAGCACCCCACACGCGCCTGTGGGTCCCTGGGTTGCTCGTCGTCTATGGAAGGCAAGCCCCTGCCGGCCTCAGGAAGCCCCGGACCCCCTCTGGCCTGCTCTGACTTCCTCTCTGCCCTCCCCTCCTCTCCCCTCCCCAGTTCTTCACCTGCCTGGTGATCCTCTTTGCCTGTGAGGTGGCCGCTGGCATCTGGGGTTTTGTCAACAAGGACCAGGTGAGTCATTTTCAGGTGGTGGGGCAGGGGTGCCGGTGGGGAGGGCAGGGGCTCGGCCTGGGGGCGCTTCTCTGGGCGGGCTCTTCGGGTAGGAAGCCACAGAGGGCTTCCTGGAGGAGGGGGCGCAGTGGCCAAGTGGAAGGCAGAGCCCCCCCACCCCCAGCTCCGGGCGGCGGGTCCACCCTGACCTTCCACGAGAGCCAGATGAAGGCGCGTCTTGGGGGGGAACGTCCCCCTGTGCTGTGAGCACCTCCCTCCCCAGATCGCCAAGGACGTGAAGCAGTTCTATGACCAGGCCTTGCAGCAGGCCGTAGTGGACGACGAAGCCAACAACGCCAAGGCCGTGGTGAAGACCTTCCATGAGACGGTGCGGCGGGGCCGGGGGCTGGGGCACCACTGTCAGGGGTTGGGGCGGCGGGCGTCCAGGGAGCCTGGGGCACCAGGGTGGAGCCTGGGGCACCAGGGTAGAGGCCTGGGCTGCAGGTTTTGTCCTCTTGATGTGATCTCAGCCTGGAGCGGGAGGGGCACCAGGGCCTGGCAGCCCCACTCTCGGGGACTTGGGCTCTTCTGGGGTTCCCCGGCGGGAACTAGGTGGGCCAGGCCAGCCGGGGTGCAGCGCAGCTGAGTGGAAGGGTGGGGAGGAGTGGGCCCCTTGGCTTGGCTCTCCCCCAGGAGGGGCCGGCCCCCGGGCCAGGGCGGCTCCTGGGGTCTCTGCAGCCCGCGGGACACATGCCCAGGGCTGACGGCAGACACCCTCCACCCCTGCAGCTTAACTGCTGTGGCTCCAACACGCTGACCACACTGACCACCTCTGTGCTAAAGAACAGCCTGTGTCCCTCCGGTGGCAACGTCATCACTAATTTGTTCAAGGTGCGTGGCGATTCCCGCTTGGCTGCCGCCCCTTGGTAGGTCCTGGGTGGTGGCAGGGCCTCCCGGGGCTCCCACAGGCCATGGCCAGGCCATGGTCATGCCAGGCCGTGCAGTGGCTGGAGTTGGGGCTGCGGGCCAACCCTGGCCCGACGGTGCTTCGTGGTCTCTGAGCCGGGGAGGGTGCCCTCGGCATGCTCGCTGTTCACACCGGCCAGAGACCAGGTGCTGTTCACGCCTCTTCTGGAGGCCCCTGGGGGTGCGGCTATGCCCCTCCACGGGGCCCCGGGCTGCTGCCTCATGGGGTCGGAGGACGGGCGCCTCTGACTGCCCTCTGGCCACCCCTGCAGGAGGACTGCCACGGGAAGATCGACGAGCTCTTCTCGGGGAAGCTGTACCTCATCGGCATCGCGGCCATCGTGGTCGCTGTGATCATGGTGAGTGGGGCGGACCAGCTCTGCTTGGGGATCCCCCCCACACTGAGGGTCTCCGAGAGCTGACTGAGCTGACCCCCCGGGGGTCTCCACCCCCCCTCCCCACGGGGTCTGGGAGCGGATCACCTGCCCACGCCCTCCCCAGGGGCCTCTGGGAGCTGACAGCCCGCCCGCCCCCTCCCTGCAGATCTTCGAGATGATCCTGAGCATGGTGCTCTGCTGTGGCATCCGGAACAGCTCAGTGTACTGAGCCCGTGGCCACTGAGGCCTCGGGGAGGGGCCTCGGGGACCCCAGCAGCGCCCCTCAGAGCGACCCGGACACTTCTGAGGAGGGGCCGTCGCCACCTGTGTATATAACCTCCTGGTATCACTGCTACACTTAACAGCTTTTTTACTTTTGAGGTTTTGTTCTTGTCCCGAAGCTTCCTGTTAACTGTCCTTTTGGGGCTGACGTCACCTGTGGGTGGCGTATGAGTGGACCGTGGGGACTGCAGGGCAGGGGCCCCCTCTGCTGCTTGGGGGCTCTGCTTGCTCAGCCAGGCCTCTCCTGGGGGCCACCAAGGGCCGTCCGGCCGAGCTGCACCCACGCGCCAGTCCCCATGGGCAGCACACATGCTCAGCCTTTTTTTAATCCTTGTTCCTTTCCGGCCACCTGTCTCTAGAGCCAGGTCTACGAGCAGCCTTATGCCTTCAGTGCGCACCTCTCCTTTCTAACGCGTCACCTTCAATTGTAATTACATCTTGAAAAGTCATTCAATAAAGAAGGAAAAACCAGGCATGCTAACACGGTCTGGCCCTTTCGTGTGCCTGTGGCCTCTGAGACCCGGGGGGCAGCCTGAGGGGCCGAGGAGCCTGGCACGGGTGGTGCTCAGCTCTCTGGATCTCACTGGTCCCAGGGTGTGCCACCGACCCTGTTGGTGGGTGCCAGCGGGGCCCCTTTCTTGGGCCTTGTGTCGCCAGCAGCAGCCTTCACCCGGCCCTCACTCCCGTCCCCGTTCCTTGGCACTACTGCCCGGTGGGCAGGACGACCCAAAAAACATGGTACAGGATGGAAGGGCCCTGCAGACCCCCCCGTGAAGGTCAGCTCCGTAGAAGATGGACACACGGCTCCCTCCCAAGGGTCTCGTCTCTTCCTGTCTAGCTGGTTTTAACCTCCTGTCAAGGGGCTGGGTGGCCCCGTCTTCCAGGGGTTGGAGGTGAAGCCCTCAGCCACTCCCTGGGGGAGCTCACTTGGCCCAGCCCCGGGAACCGAGGCCCAGCCAGAGGCTGCTGCCCCTGCCGGGAATGCTGGGTAATGTCACCATGAGCTGCAGGCAGGTACTGACTCGCCTGTGCACTAAATTGACCTCTTGAGGCTCCAAGTCCCTGGCTGGGATTCGTATGTCAAGGGTTCCTGGTGGCCTTCTTGGGGGCTGATATTGGAAACTAGTTCCCAGCCCTGCATTGGGGGTCACAGGGCCTCCGTAGGCCTGCTCCTCCAAAGTCCAAATAGGGACTGGTGGGTTGGGAGATGGATGGCCCAGGGAACCTGCTCCTTTTTACTTCTCCCTGTGCCGCGAGACCCTCTTCAAGCTGTGATGTGAATTAGTGCCTGGGGTGGCCTGGACTCCCTCATTCCTGGTGAGACCCTGTGTGTGGGCACCTTTAGGGATGACATGCCCCCAGTTCAGCTCAGTCACTTAGTCACATCCGACTTTTTGCGACCTCATGGACTGCAGCACACCAGGCCTCCCTGTCCATCACCAACTCCTAGAATTTACTCAAACCCATGTCCACTGTCGATGATGCATCCAACCATCTCATCCTCTGTTTCCCCTTCTACTCCCGCCCTCAGTCTTTCCCAGCATGAGGGTCTTTTCAAATGAGTCAGTTCTTCACATCAGGTGGTGTGATGTGAAAGTACTGGAGTTTCAACTTCAGCATCAGTCCTTCCAATGAATATTCAGGACTGATTTCCTTTAGGGTGGACTGGTTTAATCTCCTTGCAGTCCAAGGGACTCTCAAGAGTCTTCTCCAACACCACAGTTCAAAAGAATCAATTCTTTGGTGCTCAGCTTTCTTTATGGTCCAACTCTCACATCCATACATGACTACTGGAAAAAGCATAGCTTTGACTAGACGGACCTTTGTTGGCAAAGTAATGTCTCTGCTTTTTAATAAGCTGTCTAGGTTAGTCATAACTTTTCTTCCAAGAAGCAAGCGTCTTCTAATTTCATGGCTGCCGTCACCATCTGCAGTGATTTTGGAGCCCCAAAAATAAAATCTGTCACTGTTTCCCCATCTATTTGCCATGAAGTGATGGGATCAGATGCCATAAGACGTGTCCCAAGGTTGCACATTAAAGTCGGTCCAAACACATGAAAAGATGCTCAACATCACTCATTATCAGAGAAATGCAAATCAAAACCACAATGAGGTACCATTACACACCAGTCAGGATGGCTGCTATCCAAAAGTCTACAAGCAATAAATGCTGGAGAGGGTGTGGAGAAAAGGGAACCCTCTTACACTGTTGGTGGGAATGCAAATTAGTACAGCCACTATGGAAAACAGTGTGGAGATTTCTTAAAAAGCTGGAAATAAACTGCCATATGACCCAGCAATCCCACTTCTGGGCATACACACCGAGGAAACCAGATCTGAAAGAGACACGTGCACCCCAATGTTCATCGCAGCACTGTTTATAATAGCCAGGACATGGAAGCAACCTAGATGCCCATCAGCAGACGAATGGATGAGGAAGCTGTGGTACATATACACCATGGAATATTACTCAGCCATTAAAAAGAATTCATTTGAATCAGTTCTAATGAGATGGATGAAACTGGAGCCCATTATACAGAGCGAAGTAAGCCAGAAAGACCATTACAGTATACTAACACATATATATGGAATTTAGAAAGATGGTAACGATAACCCTATATGCAAAACAGAAAAAGAGACTCAGATGTATAGAACAGACTTGTGGACTCTGGGAGAAGGCGAGGGTGGGATGTTTCAAGAGAACAGCATCGAAACACGTATATTATCTAGGGTGAAACAGATCACCAGCCCAGGTTGGGTGCATGAGACAAGCGCTTGGGCCTGGTGCACTGGGAAGACCCAGAGGGATCGGGTGGAGAGGGAGGTGGGAGGGGGGACCGGGATGGGGAATACATGTAAATCCATGGCTAATTCATTTCAACGTATGACAAGAACCACTGCAATGATGTAAAGTAATTAGCCTCCAACTAATAAAAATAAATGGAAAAAAAAAATAAATAAAGTCGGTCCTGTTTCCTCTCTGGGTTCCTGGCTGGGCGGCAGCACGGCCTGAACCCTGGATTCCTGGGTGCAGCTCTGCCCGAGGGGGCTCCCCCTGGCCGTCCACTGCTGAGCTTCAGTGGGCGCTTCCCTGGTGGCTCAGCTGGTAGACTCCGCCTGCAATGTGGGAGCCCTAGGTTCGACCCCTGGGTTGGGAAGATCCCCTAGAGAAGGGAAAGGCTACCCGCCCCAGTATTCTGGTCTGGAAAATTCCATGGACTGTATAGTCCACGGGGTCGCAAAGTCGGACACGACTGGGAGACTTTAATTTTCGGGGCAGAAATGACCAGTCGGACGATCGGCAAGCGAGGCCACGGCGCCTCCCTCAGGCGGCTTGCCGCGCGGTGGCCTGCCTGACCCGTCCAGTGGGCGGGACACGCCCCGCGGCTCGGCTCTGGGGACCCGAAAGGGCTGGGCCGGCAGCTCCGGAAGGGGACCGGAAGTGCCTGGGAACCGCGCCGGGAACGTTGGCGCACTTCCGGTTCTTGCGGCTTCCGGCAAAGTGGGCTACAGTACCAGGAACGAGGCTCTGGCCGTTAGCCCTGGAGCATTCTGGGAGTCGTAGCCCTGCCTCCTCACCCCGACTCCCTTCCTGAGTCAATTCCGGTCTCTTCGCGAAAGAGCGCCACCGTTTCCTGTAGGGAAGGCAGCGCATGCCAAAGACATCACTCCCGATAGGCCTCGGGAGCGGAAGCCAGGTGCCTTGTGGGAGATGTAGTTCTTCAGGCGTAGGAGAAACGGCTCTCGGCCAGCGGGGGACTCGGTTTCCCAAAGGGCTGAGCGCGGCGCAAGATGGAGGCAGCCAGGCCGAAGTGAGCCGGTAGGTTTTTGGTGGGGAGGGCCGTGCTGCTGACCCGTCGGGCTTCAGCGGGGCACTGTCCGTAGTCTTCTGCCCCGACCAGGGAGACCCTCGTGAGGCCCGGACCCTTGGCCCGCCCCTGCCTGACTTGGCCGCAGGACTCAGGCCGCTGACACGAGCGCCTGCTGGGCACGCGCCGAGATTCTGGGCGCGTGGAGTGGAGAAAATAAAGGCTCTGCCTTCCGGGGGAGAGAGACAACCCACAAGGAAGCCAGCGCTCCCTGGGACCTGGCCAGCCCGACCCCGGCCCTGAGAAAACCGCGCCTCCGTCAGCCTGGACTCGGCTCTGCCCTGCAGTGAGCTCAGGAAATTCTCAGAGAACTGAGACGCAGACCTGGCATGCCCGGTCTTGGGTTGCGATTCCCGGCTCCCCTCGGCGTGTCCCACTGATCACGGGCGTCCAGGGGACGGGGATGCAAATTTAGGAAGCTGGAGGCTGGTTGGAACTCCAGCTTTGCCTCCAGTGTACTGAATGACGGGCAATTTCTCCCCGCTCCGGTCCTGCCAGCCCTAAAACAGACACCTTTGGCGTTTACTTCGTGTCCCCTTTCCTGGAGTTGTCCCTTTATTTTGGGGGTCATGCAAGGCCCAGAGGAATGGAGATCTCGCCTGTGTTTTGACCTGGAGCAGGTCACTCAGAGCCACTCCTGGTCCACCTGGCCTGGTATTTGGTGGGCGCCGTTGCAACGGAGCAAGCACGGGAGGCTTGGTGGGAAGAGGCAGTTGGTGGACGGAGGCTGAGGCCTGTCCTCTGAGCCTGGAAACAAGTTTCAGGGTGCCTGGTGACACTAGAATGCTAACCAGGTGTTGGCAGGACTTCTGTGCTTCGCTGGGAAAGTGAAGGGTGTGTGGAGGATCACAGGAAATGTCCCTGGGGGTTGCCTCAGTAGCTGTGGGGCCGGCCTCTGCCAAGCAAGGCTGAGCCAGCTTCCTGAGAGCTTGACGCTCAGATGCCAAGGGCCTGGCTGCAGTCCCTTCTGGAGCTCCCAGGGCATCTCTCAGCACTCAGGAGCTCACCTCCTCCCCACAGAGCCGGCAGGTGCCCTTGGCTTTGTGGAGTACTTCCTGCGTGCCCCTTCCTCCGGCAGCATCCCGCAGAAAGCTCTAAAATTCTTTATTGCAGTTGTTAGCAAAGTGAATAAACATACTCCTCATCCACACAGCAAGTATTTATGAAGTCCTGACTGTGAGTCAGTTCGAGCTGTTCAGTGAGCCGGTTTGCAATTACTGCCATGACTGTCAGCTGTTTACCGTACCTCTGCGCACTCACTGACCCGAAAACGCTTAATAAGCTATCATGTGGAACCACCACAGGACTTGTCAGTTACCAAGATTAGACTAGTGACTGATATGAAGTAGATTCTGTAATTTCACTTTTTGAAAAGTGTGATCACCCTTCACAACCCCTTGTAATCCGATAGAAAGTATATAGGTTATAAGAACAAAACAATTGAATACGCTAGTGTGTGGAAACACTGGCACTGTATCAAAACGAAACAGTGACAGTCTTTCTCCTAAGTAAAAAATTACTCAGTTAATGGCCAGAATATCCTCAGTTTGTATTTGTATTTGTATTTTCCAGTTTGTATTCCACAATTTTTTTTTTTTAATGTTTCACACCTGCAGCTGCTAGCCAGTCCGAGGATGATGCCTGCTTTAGCACAGAACTGTGTTACACATGTCATTCATTCATTTCTTATTTATTGGAGAAGGAAATGGCAACCCACTCCAGTATTCTTGCCTAAAAAATCCTACTGACAGAGGAGCCTGGCAGACTACAATCCAAAGGGCTGCAAAAAAAAGAGTCGCACACAACTGAGCTACTAAGCATACTGCCTGCCACGTACCGCACTTGGCCGATAGAGGGAGCGCAAGGATTGCTGGTGACCCTGGGTTGACGCCCCGGCTGGCTGCTCTCTGCCAGACCACCCCCGTGCGGGCCCCCTAGTGGCTCTAGTCAGACCTGCCTGGCAAGGACTGAGGGAGGTAACAAGTCAAAAGGACCGGCTCCTGGGCCTGGCAGTTTTGGGGGCTTTGTAAACCCAGGCCCACTCCGGGGGTATTGGCACCACTCCTATGGGTCCGCTGTCTGGTCTGATGGCCGGTTGTCCCTCCCTGCCCTTAGCCAGTCACTGAACCGCTGAGCAGAGCCGTGCCCGGAGGCCTTTGCCACCAAGAGCCTTCGTCAGCATTGAGCCCACCTGCCCTCCAGCGTCCAGCAGGCACCTGGCAGACGGGGAGGTAAGAGGAGGGCTTTCAGTGGGTGGGTGGGTGGGTGGGGGGGCTTCCTCCTGGGACACTGCTCTTCCTGCTGACCCTGCCTGGGGCGGTGAGTCTGAGCTTGTGGTGTTCTCGGGGACTCCCGGGGCTGTTTCGGTGCAGGTGTGGCGTGGCCTGAGGACACATGGCAGAGGCAGGGGACAGCCAACATTTCCTTGACTCGGAGGTCGACGTCCTGCCTCCCGACACTGTCTCCCTCAGCGACTCAGACTCAGACCTCAGTCTGCCGGATGGTGCTGGGGTGGATGCCCTGTCCCCGGGGGGGCTGCCTGGGGAGGCTTCCGGGGATTCGGGTCCCGATGAGCCCCCCTCACCCCCCAGGGGCCTCCCCACAGAGGCGGTGCAGCCCTTCCATCTGAGAGGCACGAGCTCCACCTTCTCCCAGCGCAGCCACAGCATCTTTGATGGCTTGGAGGGGGCCGTCAGGCGGGCTGTGCCCGCTGTGGCTCCAGCCAGTCCAGGGGACAGGGGGAGCTTCCAGCAGCTGCTGACACCCTCCAGCCAGCCTGCAGCGGGTGGCCCAGGTAGGGCCGCTGGAAGCCCTGCTCCCCCAAGGGCGCCCCCCGTCCCTGACTACGTGACCCACCCTGAGCGCTGGACCAGGTACAGCCTGGAAGAGGTGGCCGAGGCCAGCGAGCAGAGCAACCGGGCCGCCGCCCTGGCCTTCCTGGGCCCGCAGAACCTGGCCGCCCCCGGCGACTACGTGCCCTCCTTCAATCAGGATCCCTCCAGCTGCGGGGAGGGCCGGCTTGTCTTCACCAAGCCTGCCCGAGCCAGCGAGGCTCGGCCCGACAGGAGGCGGGTCCCGAGGAAGGCGGGGGAGCCGGGCAGGAGCGACCCTGGGGTTCCAGGAACGGCAGGGGGCGAGGGCCCCGTGGAGCTGGCCCACCTGGCCAGGCCCTGGAGCCCCGAAGCTGAGGAGTGGAGCGGACCCCGAGGGGGCCTGCAGGAGGTGGGTGCACTTGCGGGCGTAGCCCACGCCAGGTCTGGGTCCAGCCCCCCGCTGGTGGAGACAGTGGGTTTCCACGGCAGCAGGAAGCGGAGCAGGGACCACTTCCGGGGCAAGGGACCACTTCCGGAGCAAGGGCACAGCCCCGAGGCCCCAGGCGTGGAGGTGTGAGCCAGGAGACCTCCCGGCTGGCTCCCTGACCTGACTCTGCTGGAAGGCTGGCCACTGTTGCCCCCGGGGCGGCTTCAGGGCTGGAGCTGGCTCAGGGCTCCGGGGCAGCGAGCCGGCCTGCCGACTGCCTGTGGGTGCCACAGGGAGCAGAGACTTCGCCAGGGTGTGGGCCGGGGGTGGTGGAGGCCCGACCCGTCCTCTGCCCGGGAGACAGTAAAGGCCTGGCGTGTTCCTCTGGCTCCGTGTGTCTGTGTGGACTGCCTCTCCCCCGGGGACCGCAGCCGGGACCCTCCGCCGTCCAGGCCCCATTGTCCCGCGCTCGTCAGGAGAAGGTCTTTCTATTGGACTGAGGCGAGTCTCCTCGGCACCGAGCAAGAGGCTGAGCCCCTAGCCCATCCCAGGGAGGAGTCGCAGCTGCTCGCGTGAGGGCTGGGGCCGGGGGGTGATGTAGTGGATCTGGGGAGAGCGGAGTGTGAGTGTGGGCGGGAAGCGGCCGCCGGTGGCCCGGCACACTGGGCCGCCGCCGTGTGGGGATGACCGGTGTCGCCAGGACAGCCGATTGCTGTGCAGGGCGCTGAGCCCGGTCCCCAGACGGTGTGGGGAGGCAGACGGGAGCCAGCGCGGCTCCTGTGACTGCTGTTAAGCCCCGGCCTGGCCCTGCTGCTGTGTCCCCTACCCCAGGGCTCCAGGTCCCCAGGGGAACAGGAGACTAGCCTGGCTGCCCACTCGCCTTGTGTGGTGTTCTCAGAAGGGCCTGGACCCCATCCCTTGTCACGTGCTTCACTAAATGGATGCCTCCCGGGGTCCCCTCTGCCTGGGACTGCAGCCCCAGGTGTGGGTGTGCTTTCCCGGCTCCATGGAACGTAAAGCAGTTTTCGGGGGTGGCGGCGGGTCCTCTTGGGATGGTGACCTGCCACCACTACCCAGACGGGATGGCCCAGCACTCGCCATGTGTGCTGTCAGGCGTGGGGGCGGCAGCCGACACACACACTGAACACTCAGCCTGGGTCTTGAAGACAGAGGTTCCAACTCCAAGCGTTTCACAAAAAGACCATTCTCTTGGCGGGTGACACAGGTTGGGTGTAGACTCCAAGGCAGCTGCCCCCCTAAAGGGAGGCCCCCCACAAGGCATTCAGCGAGGCCTGCTCTTCTGGCCCCAGCTGGTTGGCTCTGGATGGGGCTTGGGTCTGTCGGGGGGCCCGTGACACAAACCGCTGCACTCCCAGGCCTGAGGAGGTGCTGGGCAGGACGAGGGTGGTACATCCCCCTGGGGGTGCTCAACTGGTGGGGGGGGTGTGCTGGCATCTCCACGAGGCCCAGGATGAGCAGCCAACGGCCGTTCCCCCCAGGCCTGTGCCCCTGGGAGCGCAGGGCTCCATGTGCTGACGTCCAGGTGGCTCAGGGGTTGGAGGGTGGCTGGCCAGCCTCTGGGCGCTCCCTGCTACCCAGGGCCCCTCCGTGGTCAGCAGAGGCTGGTGGGTTCCCGCTGCTGGAGTTCCGAGAGTCTGGATGGGGGGGGAGGAAGGCCCCCTTACAGCTGCTGGGTGCCCAATGGGGCAGCCCCGGGGAGAGCTGGGGGTGGGCGGGGGAAGCAGCCAGTGGGGCCCGTGAACCGTGCCTCCCACAGAGGGCCCCAGCCAAGGGCCATCCAGGACCGGGGCCGTCTTCTCCCAGGACAGGTGGGAAGCAGAGGCCTAAGGTGGGGCAGAGGACGCAGCCCCAGGCCTGCAGGCTGGCAGAGGGCTGCCCGTGCCCACCCGCCCCCGAGCGCTCAGGGCACGGGGACTGTCACACTCACTCCAGTAGGCGCTGCCGCGGGCCAGCGACTCGGCCATGGAGGAGAGGAGCGCTGCGCAGTAGCCGACCTGGAGGAGGGCAGGCTGGGGACTGGGGCCGGGCCTGCGTCCACCCCCTACCCCACCAGCCGGCTCCCCTCTGACCCCTCTGGCGGCTGTCACTCGAGGACAGGGAGGAGGGGGCGGGGAGGGGTCTTTAGCACAGGGCACCCCAGGGAGCGGCAGGGTCTCCTGGAGGAGCCCCAAAGGGGCACGAGTGCCGAAGCCCCAGGCCCTGCCTGCCCTGCCCCTGCCCTGACTGCATGCCCCCTGCCAGGCCCAGCCCAAGGAGAAGGGCACCCTGGTCCGCCCACCTACCTGAGACTCCAGACGCTTGACGCGCCTCTCCTGTTCCCTCAGGCCCCCAAGGAGCTTGGCTACGACATCCACTCTGTGGCGGGAGCGGGCGGGCAGCAGGCTGCTGAAGGCCAGTGCACCACATGGGGGGCCTTCCCACCTCCCTGCACTGATGCCCAGGCCCTTCGGGTGCGTTTGGGGGTCACTGAGCCTCTGTGGGCGCCTGAGTTCAGGGTGCTCCGGCCCCTCGGGCATGGTGGGGGTGGGGCTCAGGGCTGTTCCCACCCGCAGGCAGGACCAGGCGCGTGGGTGTGAAGTTCGCCCCAGAACAGGAGGAGCCCCACGAGTCCTGGCACCAACCCCCAAGTGTAGGGCAGGCCCGGCCCAGCAGAGCCCAGTCCAGGGTGAGAGGCTGCTTGTTAGAACCGGGCCATGTCCCTACCCAGCCCAGACCCTGCGACATGAGGGGCCATGCCAGCCTTAAGGCAGCCTGTCACCCTGCAGAGATCTCCCAGCCCCCCGGGAGCTGGCTCTCCACCAGCTCCCCCAGCATCTCCCCTGCCTGGCACCCTGTGGGGCCGGCCCAGGCGGGGCAGGGAGGGCGCCCCCGCACCTGTGTGCCGCTTTCCGCAGCAGCTCCTCCTGGCTCTCCTTCCGGCGCTTCTCCAGCTCGCTCAAGAAGTTCTCCTTCTGCACCACCTCCCAGGTGACCACCTTCTGGTCCAGAGGCTCTGGCAGGTCCCTCTCTGGGGAGGCCGGGCCTCCTCAGGGCAGGGCCCAGGCCTGGGAGGCCCCTGGTGGGCAGGCCCTCCGGGCCGCCGCAGAGGGGGCCGGGGCCCGCCACCTGCTGCCCCCTGCCCCCACCCAGGCCCAGGGCCCCTCCACCCACGCGGCTCTGACGGGAGCCTCACCCAGGCGCGCCTGCCTCTGCGGGGCCCCCCTCCGCAGGAGCCTCTTGAGCACCAGGCTCAGGTGGCTGAGGAGGATGAACGGGGGTGCTAGCGCGGGGCGCTGGTGGTACTCCACGATGAGGTGGAAGCGCTGGAACTTCCAGAAGGTGTCCGCGTTGCCCTGCACCACCTGGAACGTGTAGCTGTAGACAGCAGCAGGCAGGCGGGCGGCGTGGGCACGTGGCCCTGCTCCCCGCCCCGCCCCGCCCCCGGGGTTCCCCGCCACCCCTCTGCTACCGCCTGGCAGACCCAGGCACCCGCCCGCACACCCCTACCAGGCCTGCACCACCTGCTCGGTGCCCTGAGCTCCAGAGGGGAGACCTCCAGAGGGGAGCCCCAGCTCTGGAGTGACAGCCCATATCCAAGCCCCTCCTGGGGGCAGAGAGGCGACTGCCCCTGCAGTCTGGAGGCCTGGACAGGTCTGGGCCAGGGGGACCAGAACCAAGCCCCACCCCCCAGAGTGGACAGAGGCAGGGGGCAGGGTGGGCACCTGAACATGGCGATGAGCAGGTTCATGAGCAGCACGTTGGTGACCAGTAGGAAGGTGACCAGCAGGAGGATGACCACCCAGTTGGCGTAGAGGTTGGGGCAGGAGGGCGAGCCCTCCAGCAGCAGCGGGTGCCGGGAGCAGTTCACGCGGGCTTCTGTAAGGGGCCAGGCGCGTGGGGTTGGGGGCCAGCCCAAGTGGCCAGCGCCCGCGGGCGTCAAGAGTCATGTCCCCACGGTTGAGGCCACCCAGGGGGAGGGCCTGGGGAGGCAGCCAGTTCCCGTGCTTTCCCGGGCATGGTCCGGGCTTCGGCACTCAGAGTCCGAGTCCTGGGACAACCAGGTCCTGGGTGGTCTGCCTGGCTGTGCCGGCCCCACTTCCCCTGGCCTCGCTGTGGCGTCACAGTGGCCCACGGGCTCTGGAAGCAGAGCCCAGCCCGTGTCATCCCACCCCCACCCAAGGCTCTGCTCAAAGGCAGCACGGGGGGCCGCTGGCCTCAGCGAGGGCGTGGGGTCTCTCCTGCAGGACTTCTCAGGCCTGTGGCTCACTGGCCGCCGCAGGAGTCTGAGCCGGGGCAGGTCTGCACTTTCCCAAAGCCTGCAGCAGCAGAACGCCCTTGACACGGGTTACCGTGGGCTGGAGGACGAGCCAGCTCCAAGAGCCGTCGGGGCGGGAGGGGCACGGGCAGTGAGCACCCAGTCTGGGGCAGGCTGAGCTCCAGGCCCTGGATGGGGAATCTGGAGGGGCCGGCATCCCTGAGGGGCCCCAGGAGCCCTGCTCCAGCCCCTCCCCTTCCTGCCTCAGCCCCTGCAGGGCCAGCCTGGCCCCCACCTGCCCCAGGCGATGGGAGGGAGGTGCAGACAGAGGCCAGGGTAGGGGGCGCACGGGCGCAGGGGCCCCGGGGTGTGGGGCGTCTCCCCGTCAGGAGGGCTTGAGGCTCCAGGTGGTGACCTCTGCACACACGTGCGTGTGTGTGCGTGCGCGTGTGCGTGTGGGCCGTGCGTGTGTGTGTTTGCGTGTGTGTGTGTGCACGCACGTGTGTGTGTGCGCGCGCGTGTGTGTGTGGACCTGGACACGCATGCACGTAGGACTGTGTTTCTGTGGCTGCCCCCCGCCGTCTTCACACTGTGTCTCAGCGCAGGGCACGGGGTCTCTGTTTCCATGTGTGCCCGTGTTCCCATCTCTGGGCTCGCGTGTCAGGCTGGCAGGGCCTATTCCCCTGTGTGTGTCTCCCTCACAGGATGAGCCCCTCCTGAGTGAGGTACTTCGATGGGACCTGGGGGCTCCGTGTGAGACCCCTCCCCAGCCGCCCCTGCCCTCCCGGCCTGCAGATCCGTTCTCGCCCTGGGCACCCTGAGTGGCCCGGAGGGCCTGCCCGTCCGATGGAAGCAGCTCCATGGTGATGAGGCACCTGCGTCTCCCCCGGGACTCTCAGAGGCACCGCCAGGCCCAGCTGGGAGATGGGTCGTCCTAGGGCCTCCTGGGGCCCAGAGTGGGGGCTCTGCCCGGGACACTGGGACCCGTCTCCTGCGGCTCATAAGTGAGCAAACTACCCTCTGCCCGCAGGGTGGTGGGCTCCCACGGAGGGGCTGGCTGGGGGTTCCCCCCTGTGAGACGGGGAAGGGGAAGGACCCTCAGCCAACTGGCCCAGGCTGGCCCTGCCATGGTGGGGCTCAGCCTGGCAGCTACAGTGGCGTTGAAAACTGGACCCCTGGGAGTCTGCAGCCCTAGTCCGGCACCTCCCTGCCCCCAGGGACCCCGAACCATGACAGAGTGCCCTCGTACCATCGGTGTGCGGCCGTCGGGTTGGGAGGGACCCCACGCCTGCCCAGTGCTGGGCACCCACTTCTCCCCCCTCCTCCCGAGGGGCCCCGTGAGACTGGGGCAGTTGGAGGTCATGGCAGCGTCCCCCAGGCGGGGCCGCCCGGGGAGGACAGGCAGGGGCTCATTAAAGTAATGGCCTGGAAAATGGTGCCCACGGGAGAGCACACACGGAGCCCCGTGCCGGGCGCGGGGGGGACTAAGAAAACAGCCCAGGAAATGAGCCTGCAAAACCTGCTAATTAGGAGGCAGCTCCCGTGACGGCGCAGCCCCTCAGCCCAGAGTCAGCCCGTCTCAGTCACGTCCTCGTCCCATGGACAAATATTTACCAGGTCACGGGCGCTGACCTGCCTCATCAGCGGCCGCAGACAGCCTCAGGGACTCTGCACCCATGATCGCCCCGTGACACCCGCCTGAGTGAGGACCCCCTGCCCCTGCTCTGCACCCCGGGAGCACCCAGCACGGCTGGAGCCCTGGGCCCCCACACTGGCCCCCCTTGTTGGAGGGACTGGTTCCCCTTCTCCCCCTCAGTGAACCCCAGCCGTGCTGGGGCCCATGAAGGTGTTCCCGGTCCTGGGGCTCCCCGAGCACCCCCCTACCCCCCACTGCACTATCACGAGAAATTCTTGGAGGATTCTCTGGTGGCTGAGATTGTAAAGAGTCTGCCCTCAATGCAAGAGACCCGGGTTCAATCCCTGGGTCAGGAAGATCCCCTGGAGAAGGAAATGGCAACCCATTCCAGTATTCCTGCCTGGAAAATCCCATGGACAGAGGAGCCTGGCAGGCTACAGTCCAGGGGGTCTGAAAGAATCAGACACGACTGAACGACTTCACTTTCCACCAGCCCCCACCCACACACCTATACAGGGGACCGCCCTGGAGACACCCTCTCAGGCAGGCCACACAAGCCAGGCAGGGTGTTGGGCTCACACATTGGGTGGGTCCCCAGAAGCTAGGGTGCCCTCAGGAGCGGCCTTCCAACCGAGGGCCTCCCCAGCAGGCAGGCCACACGCATAATCAGCAGGGATGTGCTGGAAGGCCAGCTGTGGGGCCCAGACCAGGTGATGGCCGGGGTGGGGCCCTGCTGAGTGCCTGCCCACCCCACCCGCAAGGCCCCCGCCCCCGCGGCCCTCTCTGCCCACAGCTCTGTCTCTGTCTCCTGCCCAGGGCCGAGGTTGGGGCCTCCACAGCTGGCACCCGTCAGCCCGGACCTGTCCCTCACCGGACATGACCTGGTGGGTGTGCTGGACTTCCCCACTGTCAGCCATCAGGCCGGGGTCTCCTGTGACCCCCAGAGGCCCCCTGAAGGACCAGGTGTCCATGGTCTTACAAAAGGACTGTGCTGCTAAGGGTGTCTCGGTGCTGTGACTCCCCAGGGCGGGGCCCCACGCAGAGCCCCCCGGCCTGGGCTGAGTCCTGACCGTCGATCTCGTCCAGCGGGATCTGCCCGAAGATCTGCAGGTACGGCCGGTAGAGCACGCGGCGGAAGATCCACTCCAGGCGGCCGTCGTGCGGGTGCAGCAGTGCCTGCGTGGTCACGCCGTAGGCCACGAGCCACACGCTCAGGAAGAAGAGGAAGAAGAAGACGTCCTTCATCTCGGGGGGCGGGAGCAGGGAGGGAGGGAGGGAAGACACGTCAGCACCCGCCGGCCAGTGCAGGGAGGCATGAGGGAGAAGGGTCAGCACCCGCCAGGCGGGGGCGGGGGGAGAGGCATGTCAGCTCCCGCCGGGTGGGGCCGGGCTCACGCCCCGGCCTGGGCTCACCATCCGCTCCACGATGATTATCTTGGGGCCCAGCTGCTTGTGGACGGCGAAGATGTGGATGAGCCGGAGTGTGAACACCATGAAGTCGAGGGCAAGCACCGTGCGGCCGGCCTCGAAGGCCCAGGGCAGCATCCTGGGGTGGGGAGGTCAGGCTGGATGGCCGCCGTGCCCAGAGAGGGCTGGGGCTTCCTCCAGGATGCACAGCACGGGCGCCAGACCCGGGCGGACCCATCCCGGAGGCAGTCCTGCCCACCAGCCCCCCAGGGCTGCCCCCTGCCAGGCCTCGGGGCCCCCAGACCTGCAGGTGACCCCGGCGATGAACAGGAAGATGGCCACCATGTCGCACTTGTTCCAGTTGTCCTCCACGTAGAGCATGAACTTCTTCACCAGGCGCGTGTCCTCGTCTGTGAAGAAGCCCTGGCGGGGGGCAGGCGGCCCAGTGACAGCGGCCCGGGCTCCCCCGCGCGGGGCACAGCCTCTCCTGGGCCGGGCTGTGACCCACAACCCCCCGGGCTCTGTCTGCAGCCGGGCCGGGCCCCCCACTGACCTGCCGGATCTCCTCCAGCACCAGCGTGAAGACCCAGAAGTAGAGGGTGACCTCAGACCCCGACGGCCCCTGGGGAGGGGGCCGGAAGTCCACCAGCAGGACGTAGGTGAACAGGAAGAGGAAGGCAAAGTACATGACCACGTTCCCGAGGAACACGGTGACGGGCGCCCCCCAGAACTTCCGCCAGCGTGTTAGCAGGAAGGCGGCTCTCCGGCCTCGGTCACCTTCACCCCTCAGCGCCTCAGCCAGCTCTTCTGCCCTGCGCCCGAAGGAGGCCATGGGCAGTGGTGAGACGGGCACCTGGGGTCCCGAGCTCACCCGTGCCCACCTCTGCCCCTCCGCAGGCTCTCACCCGCTGCCCAGGCCGCAGAGCAGGCTCTTCTCTGTGTCCAGACTGTCCAGCTCCTGCAGGTCCTCTGGGCCTGTCCTTAGGGGGGCCTCCTCGCTGCGAGCACACGAGCCCCTCAGGGACCGGGGGAGGGCACCCGAGGCTCCCGCTCGGCCCCGAGCCCCCGGCCAGCAGGTGCACTGCAGAGGGATGAGGGGTGGGGGGCGCGCAGGGGCCACGCGGGTCTGCGGTGGGGATGGGGGGCGCGCATACGTGCCACGCGGGTCTGCGGTGGGGAGGGGGGGCGCTCACAGGGGCCACGCGGGTCTGCAGTGGGGAGGGGGGGCGCGCATACGTGCCACGCGGGTCTGCGGTGGGGAGGCGGGGCGCGCACAGGGGCCACGCGGGTCTGCGGTGGGGAGGGGGGGCACGCACAGGGGCCACGCGGATCTGCGGTGGGGAGGCGGGGGGCGCGCATACGTGCCACACAGATCTGCGGTGGGGGGAGGCTGGGGGTGTGCCACCACCGGCAACAGTGAAGCCACACCCCACCCCCTCCCCCCTCCCCTCCCTCCAGCCTGGCACAGCTCTGGCAAGCGGCTGCCGTCTGTGCTGACCGACCTGAAGGTGATGAGGTTGGTGTAGATGAGGGCCGGGCAGAAGAAGGCGCACAGCAGCCGCAGGATGGGGGTGCCCGAGGCCATGTCCCCCCACCAGAGCTTGGTCAGGAAGGCCTGAAACAAAGGCGTGGCTGTTACCCCCCCCCCCGACCCCCTCCACACCTTTGCTGCAGTGCCCGCAGCAGGCCTGCCCTCAGGGTTCAGCGGAGGCATCAGTCCCCCCAGTCTGGAGCCCCCAGGGCCTCCCTCCTAGGGGAGAAGGAGCTCCTTCCATGGAGGGAGGCTAGGCTCTGGGTTAGCATTCCTGCCGAGACCAGAGGCGGAGAACTAACACCCAAAAAAGATGTCCCCTTCATCATAGGGGACTGGAATGCAAAAGTAGGAAGTCAAGAGACACCTGGAGTAACAGGCAAATTTGGCCTCGGAGTACAAAACGAAGCAGGCTAACAGAGTTTTGCCAAGAGAACACACTGGTCATAGCAAACACCCTTTTCCAACAAAAGAGAAGGCTCTACACATGGACCTCATCAGATGGTCAATATCCAAATCAGACTGATTATATTCTTTGCAGCCAAAGATGGAGAAGCTCTATACAGTCAGCAAAAACAAGACTGGGAGCTAATTTTGGCTCCGATCATGAACTTCTTATTGCCAAATTCACACTTAAATTGAAGAAAGTAAGGGAAACCACTAGATCATTCAGGTATGACCTAAATCAAATCCTTTATGATTATACACTGGGAGTGACAATAGATTCAAGGGATTAGATCTGACAGAGTGCCTGAAGAACTATGGACAGAGGTTTGTGACATTGTACAGGAGGCAGTGATCAAGACCATCCACAAGAAAAAGAAATGCAAAAAAGCAAAATGGCTGTCTGAGAAGGCTTTACAAATACTGAGAAAAGAAGAGAAGCGAAAGACAAAGGAGAAAACGAAAGATACCCATCTGAATGCAGAGTTCCAAAGAATAGCAAGGAGAGATAAGAAAGCCTTCCTCAGTGATCAATGCAAAGAAATAGAAGAAAACAATAGAGTGGGAAAGACTAGAGATCTCTTCAAGAAAATTAGAGATATCACGGGAACATTTCATGCAAAGATGAGCACAATAAACGACAGAAATGGTATGGACCTAACAGAAGCAGAAGATATTAAGAAGAGGTGGCAAGAATACACAGAAGAACTATACCAAAAAGATCTTCATGACTCAGATGACCACGATGGTATGATCACTCACCTAGAGCCAGACATCCTGAAGTTCAAAGTCAAGAGGGCTTTAGGAAGCATCACTACGAACAAAGCTAGTGGAGGTGATGGAATTCCAGCTGAACTATTTCAAATCCTAAAAGATGATGCTGTGAAAGTGCTGCACTCAATATGCAGCAACTCTGGATAACTCAGCAGTGGCCACAGGACTGGAAAAGATCAGTTTTCATTCCAATCCCAAAGAAAGGCAATGCCAAAGAATGTTCAAACTACTGTACAATGGCACTTATCCCACATGCTAGCAAAGTAATGCTCAAAATTCTCCAAGTCAGGCTTCAACAGTATGTGAACTGAGAATTTCCAAATGTTCAAGCTGGATTTAGAAAAGGCAGAGGAACTGGAGATCAAATTGTCAACAACCGCTGGATCATCAAAAAAGCAAGAGAATTCCAGAAAAACATCTACTTCTGCTTTATTGATTACGCCAAAGCCTTTGACTGTGTGGATCACAACAAACTGTGGAAAATTCTTCAAGAGATGGGAATCTCAGACCACCTGACCTGTGTCCTGAGAAATCTGTATGCAGGTCAAGAAGCAAGTTAGATCGGGACATGTAACAACAGACTGTTTCCAAATCAGGAAAGGAGTACATCAAGGCTGTATATTGTCACCCTGCTTATTTAACTTATATGCAGAGTACTTCATGAGGAACACTGGGCTGGATGAAGCACAAGCTGGAGTCAAGATTGCCAGGAGAAATATCAATAACCTCAGATATGCAGATGACACCACCTTTATGGCAGAAAGTGAAGAAGAACTAAAGAGCCTCTTGATGAAAGTGAAAGAGGAGAGTGAAAAAGGTGGCTTAAAACTCAACATTCAGAAAACTAAGATCATGGCATCTGGTCCCATCACTTCATGGCAAGTAGATGGGAAAACAGTGGAAACATTGAGAGACTTTACTTTTTGGGCTCCCAAATCACTGCAGATGGTGACTGCAGCCATGAAATTGGAAGAAAAGCTATGACCAACCTAGACAGCATATTAAAAAGCAGAGACATTACTTTACCAACAAAGGTCCATTTGGTCAAGGCTATGGTTTTTCCAGTGGTCATGTATGGATGTGAGAGTTGGACTATAAAGAAAGCTGAGTGCCGAAGAATTGATGCTTTTGAACTGTGGTGTTGGAGAAGACTCTTGAGAGTCCCTTGGACTGCAAGGAGATCCAACCAGTCTCTCCTAAAGGAAATCAGTCCTGAATGTCACTGGAAGGGCTGATACTAAAGCTGAAACTCCAATAGTTTGGCCACCTGATGTGAAGAACCGATTCATTGGAAAAGACTCTGATGCTGGGAAAGATTGAAGATGGGAGGAGAAGGGAACAACAGAGGATGAGATGGTTGGATGGCATCACTGATTGGATGGATGGGAGTTTGAGCATGGTTCGCGAGTTGGTGATGGACAGGGAAGACTGGAGTGCTGCCATCCGCGGGGTCGCAAAGAGCCAGACACAACTGAGCGACTGAACTGGACTTGAGGCTAGTGGGGAGAGTGGCCAGCAGAGGGAGTCAGGTGGGCGGCTTCCAGGAATGGAGCCCCCCAACCCCAATGGCCTGGACGCGGGCGGAGGAGGACCTGAGGGAGCTGGCTGGGGCACCTGCTGTCTGCCCAGGCTTTGCCCACAGCACGCCCAGGGCTCACCTGCACCCCGTCGTGGGCAAAGAAGGCCTTGGTGTCGGCCTCGGTGGCCAGGTGCAGGCAGGTGGTTCTGCTCCAGCAGCGGTTCCGACGCACCAGCAGGGCGAAGGCGCGCTCCTCGCTGTGGCGGTAACACTGGGAGAAGAGGTCTGCAGGGCGGCCGCTGCCGTGATGCCCAGGCCCGCCCGCCGGGCTCCTCCCCCGCAGGTTGCACCCGCCCGCGCCCACCTCCCTGGGGCTGTGAGATGTGCCCGTCCCCACCCGGCCTCCCCATCGGGACGTGGGAGCCTCCCTCTCCCCAAATGTCCACGCTGGGAGCACTCACCGCCCAGTCCCGCCCCCAGCGCCCGCTCCCCACCGTGCTCACCCAGGGCCAGCTGCTCGTACTTGGCCTCCCGCAGAGTCCGGCCCACCTCGGCCTCTGTCTCCAGGTGGGACATCTCTTTGAGGATCTTGCAGGCGACCAGAGCGGCAGCCACCCCCTCCTGGCCCTGGGAGACCCCGCCTGAGTGTGCAGCCACCTCCCAGCCCCCACAGGCCTCTCCCAGTGTCCTCCCAGCCGTGCCTAGGACCCCCCAGGACCCTTCCAGTGTCCTCCCAGCATCCCCCCCTCCCCTCCCCCGACCCCCAGGCCCCCTCCTGGCATCCACACCATGGCCCAGAAGTAGGTGGCCATCTCATGGCGGTTCTGCAGCACCGCCCACAGGAACAGGTCTCTCCAGGGGTCCTCGCTCCTCTGGTTCAAGTCCAGCCGCCCCTTCTGGCCCGGGGTCCGCCGGGCCGGGCCCCGCTCCTGGAGGGCAGGTGTGCCAGCCTGCAGCCACAGCCCCACCCGCCCCCTCCCCACTCTCCGAGCCACCCCCCCCCAGCCCGCACTCCCGCCCCCCCCGCACTCCCCCACCCCACTCTCCGCCCCCCCCACACACTCCCGCCGCCCGCACTCACCGCCTGGTAGAGCCCACGGCAGGCGTCGTGCAGGAAGTCCTTGAGCACCCGCGAGACCTCGTGCAGGGAGAAGGCGGGCGGCCCGGCGGGCGGCTCCCGGGCCTGCTGGGTGCCCAGCCCGGCCAGCGTCAGCCGGCCTTCCTCGTGCTTGCGCTGCAGCAGGTCGAAGAGCAGGCTCTTGGGGGCCACGGAGCGGTAGAGCTGCTGCAGCCGCCCGTAGGTCAGGAAGTCCGCCACGTCCGCGCCATTGTCCACGAAGAGGCGCACGAACTCGGGCTTGTTGCTCACCAGCGCGTCCATCATCACCTCCTCCAGGTCGCGGGACTGGGGCGCCGGGTGGAGGGTGAGCGGGAACCCGTGGGGAAGGGCGCCCGCGGGAGGGGCGTGGGGACCCTCAGCAAGCCGCCCAGCTCCCGGGTGCCCCGCCCTGCCTGTTGCTCTTCACCGAGGCGGCCGCGCCCGCTGATGTTTAGCCCCTCCTGCCTGGGATGCCCGCCACTGAGGCCCAACGGGAGGTGCCCTGGCCTCCCCGGCTACCCTGGCGACAGCCCGGCCAGGCCGGCCCTGGACACCAGCTGCCCCCGGCCCCTCGTCAGGGTGCCCGCCCGGCGCTGGCCAGAGCCTGGTGCCACCTTCCACTCCACGTCCCCGTTGAAGATCTCGCTCTTGGCGATGTCCACGCGGTCCCAGGCCACGGCCAACTTCAGTTCGTCCAAGTAGTCCTGTGCCTCCTGGCTGTGGCTCTTGCAGGCTGCAGGCGGGGAGGGTGGAGTGGGTGAGGGGGAACCCAGGTGCTGGCAGAGCCAGTGGGCACAGGGCCCCTCGAGGTGGGTCTCTTAGATGTACGGCCACGGACGTGATGTCCTGGTTCTCTCCACACCCTCTGAGTACCGGTGGGAGCCACAAGACATCCACACCCCCAGGAGCCACCGCTGGGAGCTCCAGGACCCCAAGGGGACTCCAGGGCTGGATGGAATAGTGGGGAGTGGGTGGGTGCCTGTCTGGAGGAGTCTTTCCTTCCTCAAGGCTGCCCCCTGCCCCAGAGCTGCTCCCTGTGTGGGCCTATGTCCCCCACCAGCGGTCAGCCTCTCCGCAGGTGTTTATCTTCAATGAGAAGCAAAGTGAGTGACAGCCAGGACGTGGAGACCAGCCGACTGTCCATCCACAGAGCGACAGAGAAACAAAGCGCGGACCGTCACTGTCCTAAAGGGACGGGCGCCCAGTACCGGCCACAGCGTACGGGACAACCGCCCAAGGCAGCATGCCCAGAGCAAGACTCCAAAGGCCTCAGGGCGTGTGGTCCCATGTCCAGGGAATGCCCCCAGCGGGTGGATTCAGATACGGCAGGCTCGTGGTCGCCAGAGACTGGGGGAGACCGGGGTCTAGTGGGTCTTCTGGGTGGTGGACATGCTCGGGACTTAGTAGTAGCAGTGGACCACCTTGTGAAAGCACTAAAACCCTGGAGTTTACTGAGCACCTTAGCTTTCTAAGGACTTCCCTGGTGGTCCAGAGGTTAAGCATCTCCCCACCAATGCAGGGGAACACAGGGTCACTCCCTGCTCCGGGAGGATCCCCGTGCCGTGGCGCAGCTAAGCCCACACAGCACAGCCACTGAGGCCCGGGCGCCTGGAGCCCCTGCGTCTCGACAAGAGGGGCCTCGGCGGTGAGAGCCCGCACACCGCAGCCAGAGCAAGGCCTGAGTCCGCAACAGAGACCAAGCTCAGCTAAAACTAAGTACATAAAAGTTAGGAATGAATAATTAAACAGTTAAAAAATTTGTGATAAAATATATCTAACGTAAAACTTGCCAAAGACAGAACATCTCGTGGATTTGCGTGTCATCATTGTATGGAGGCCCGGGAAGTTTCTGTGTTCCTTCTGTTTGGTCACACGTGCTGCCGCTGTATACACACGGCTGTCCACACGCTCAAACACTCGCACACGCCGTCACACACACTCACAGCAGAGCGCAGCCGCCCCAGGCGCAGGCCCCGGAGGCCGAGACCCCGGGGTGGGGGCCGCCCCTCGCCGGGCTGGCTGAGCACCCTCCCCTGCCCAGCACCCTCTGCGGGCACGGCCGGGCCTCACCTTTTACCAGCGCCTTGAGTATGACCGTGTCCAGCTCCTCGGAGCCCTCCTGCTCGAAATCGTGCACGGTGAGCAGGTGCGGGTGGGACATGATGGTCTGTAGCTGGGACCCCAGGACAAAGGCCCGGAGGTGACCCCGTGGGCAGGGCAGGTGGTGTGTGACCCCACGGCCCCCAGCCAGAATGCCAGCCCCCCAGGCCCAGGGCAGCCCCACCCTCAGAGCCGGCATCCCCACCCCTCGAGGGCCTGAAGCGGGGGCCAGCCCCGGGGGCTTTGCAGCCAGAGGGGCCGGCCATGGACACGCAGTCCAGGGGCTGGGGTCTAGGGCTGGGCCAGCACGCGGCCCTCCCTCCGGCAGCTCATACCAGCCTGGTCCAGCACACGATGTCCTCCCAGGAGAAGTGCTCGCTGGGGAACTTCTCCCTAAACTGCTTCTCAGCCACCTGGGGCGCCAGGAGGTGGGGCTGGTTCACCAGGGCAGCGAGCACATCGGCGACACCCCCTGAGCCCGCCAGGATCAGCCACGGGGTGGTGTGCTCCACGGCCCTGGAAATCCTCTGAGGTGGGCGGAGGGGGGCACAGTGGACCAGGTCAGTGCCAGGTGCGATCTCGGCCCTGGCTGGGGGGCCCCGTGGGAGGCCCCCTCCTGCCGCACCTGCCCTACCTCCAGGGTGCTGGGGTCCCCGTTGACCAGCAGACAGAGGACGGGGATCTCGATGCTGCTGGTTCCTGTGGATGGATGGAGCACAGTGTCCACCCAGGTGCCCGGGTGAGCAGAGGGCCTGGGACCCTCCTGTGGGGTCACCCCCCGGGGCCTCAGAGCACCAGCTGACTGCGTTTTCTGGGCAAACTCCAGGCAAGAGGCTTTTTCTCCAGAGGTGGGCTCCCGGGTGACCGGGCAGGGATGCCAGGCCCACTCCCCACTGTTCAGTGTGGCCACCTCGTGGCTGTTTAAACATCAAGTTGAACATCGGATCCCTGGCCGCACCAGCCACGTTCGAAAGGCGGGCCCGTCTCCTCGGCCAGGGCAGAAAGCTCCACTGACCACTTGCTAGGCCATCCGAGGGCCCCGGAGCACCTCAATGTGGTGAAGGAGAGGCGCAGTTTGGCTACTTCCCCTCAAAAAATAGACGTGAGACTTCTGAATGTGCAGCCCCAGAAGCCCGGACCTGCCAGATGGGCTATGAGGGGAAAGCTTGGCAAACTGCCGGGACGGCCCCAAGAATGGTCCCCTCTAACTCCCGAGGCACCTGCGGAGCGGGAAGGATACTGGGCAGAGGGCGTGTGAGCCTCCCAGCTTCAGCAGCCCGGGCCAGCCCTGCATCCTCAAGGTGAAGGTGAAACATGGCTTAGGTTGCGTTCTCATTAAACAGTGCTAAGTTGGCAGACACACACACACTGCTTATAAATATTGCCAGTGATCACATGTATATTATTTGTACATGTTAGTTGTAAATACACGGGCTTTTAGGATTTAGACCCGCTCTGGCCACGCTGGAGGCCGCGCCTCAGGCAGCACTGCCCCCTGCTGGCAGCGAACCTTGGGCGGTGGAGGGAGATGGGCCTCTGGAAATTTACAAATCTCACTTCCTCTGCAGAGCCTGGAGCCCCTAGCCAGAGCCTCCGGTCGGGTGGGGTGGGGTGGGGGTGGGGCGGCACTGGAAACGGACCTGCAACCACTCTGCTGCCCAGTGGGAATGTTACCACCTGGCAGAGACTCCCCAAAGTCATGTTCCCCATCACCCTGGCCAGCAGCCCCCTCACCCAGGACCCCCCAGTGGCCCAGGTCTCGACGCTCTGGCGAGTTTGCTGCCTTCAGCCTGGAATGCCCGTCCCGACCCAAGCTGGCAGTCCTTCAGCCCTGTCCACCCCTGCACCCCCCACCATGGTGTTCCCGGCAGCCCCCCTCCCCGCGGGCAGCCCCCCTCCCCCCGGGCAGCCCCCCTCCCCGCGGGCAGCCCCCCTCCCCGCGGGCAGCCCCCTCCCCCGCGGGCAGCCCCCTCCCCCTCGGGCAGCCCCCTCCCGGCGGGCAGCCTCACCCCCGTAGCCTGTCCTCTGCTCCGAGATGTACTTCTCCAGCCGCAGCCGCAGTTCCGCGGGCTCGTCGCCCTTCCCGGGGGCCTCCGGCTCCACCAGGATGAAGTGGGAGTGGTTGTTGTCCAGGGGGCTGAGGGGGCCCTGGCTGCCCCCGTCGTCCAACGGGTAGTGCACGGGGCTGTCCCCCTAGGCACACACAGCGTGAGGCCCAGGTGCGGCCCGCACCCCCAGATGGAGGGAGAGCCGCCGCCGCTGCTGCGGGGGGCGCCCAGGGAGGGAACCCTCGAGACAGAGCCCGCATGCTGGGGGTGGGGGCTCCACTCACACGGCTGCCTGGCCTTCTGGGGGCCTGCCTGAGACCCTCCTCCAGGGGCGGGGCGGGGGACACCAGCCCCGCGTCACACGAGTTTGTGGGGCGGTGGCCAAGCCGGTCGTTTGGGCGCCAGTCTGGGTGGGGTCCTCGGAAACCAGGTGCCCACTCCAGGCCCTTGCCAGCTGGGAGCCTGGCGGCCCCCTCCCCACTCGGGTCCTGGGAGATGCTGCCTCCTGCTGGCCGCTCGCTGGGCAGCGGACCCCCCCTGGCTCCCCTCCCTTCCCTTCCTGCCCCTTCCTGCCCCCCCCACCCCACCCCACCCCTGGCTCTGGAGTCACGTCAGTGTCACGGCCTTTAGAGCAGCCTCGCTCCCTCCCAGGCCTGTGAGCTCGCTCCCCCCACCTCGAGGGTAGGGCTGGTCTGCCCACTGCTGGCCTGGCAGGTGGGGGCTCAGTCACAGACGGTGTAGTGCGGTCAGCCTGCAAGATGGCCCTGGTGGCCTCTGTCAGGATTGCCCTGCAGCCCCGAGGCGGCCGACCTCTGGGGGCCTCCCTGCCCCGCCACTGTGCCCCATGGCCTGAGTGCCCAGAGCCCGGCGCCCACCTGGGCATGGTCCAGGAGCTGGCGGTGCAGCACGCGGCCCAACGAGGCGATGCCAATGGCCACCACGCGGGCCTTGGTGGACGTGCTGGCCAAGGAGTGGTCACGCACGGCCTGCCCGACGTAGCGGGCGAGGCCCACTCGGAGCGCGCTGGTCAGGATCCAGGCTCCTGCAGGCACAGGGGTCCCTGAGCATGGCGGCCTTCCCAGGTGCCCTCCAGGACCAAGGTCAGGGTTAGGACTAGAGGCAGGCCCCTGCTGCCCTCTGGACAGAGACTCTGACCCCGGCCTGTGCTCGCCCAGAATCCAGGACGTCCTTCCAGAGCACAGAGCCCTCAGCCCGACGGTCAGCAGCGCCTTCGTCTCTCCTAGAGTCGTTTCTGGGCTGGGAGAGGGTGGACACCCCCCTCCCTGACTGGGCCATCTGAAGGCCCAGCCCCTGAAATCAAAGTCCAGAAGTTTAATTCTGACCCCAGCGACCAGCGGGCCAGGGTGCTGTCCCGGGAGATGGGGTGAAGGAGGCCCAGCGTGGACAGCACGTTGTGGAGGTTTCACCCTTCCCTGGGGTGTCCCGCTGAGGCCTGTTGGCCTCACACATGGCCGGGATCTCTTGGGGGAGGCTCTGAGCCCGGGGACCTTCAGCCCCTCGGCCGTGTCCCCCAGAGGAGCTCCCACCACCCTGCAGCGCCGCGGAGGGAGGGTGACCGTGGGGACGGCAGCTGAGGGCCAGCACAGGGCCTGTCAGGTATTCTGACCCGCCTGCTCTCTGACCCACCTGCACCCTGAGCCACCTGCGCCCTGACCCCCTGCTCCCTGACCCCCTGCTCCCTGACCGCCTGCGCCCTGACCCCCTGCTCCCTGACCCCCTGCGCCCTGACCCCCTGCTCCCTGACCCCCTGCTCCCTGACCCCCTGCGCCCTGACCCCCTGCTCCCTGACCCCCTGCGCCCTGACCCCCTGCTCCCTGACCCCCTGCGCCCTGACCCCCTGCTCCCTGACCCCCTGCGCCCTAACCCACTTGCTCCCTGACCCACCTGTGCTCTGAGCCGCCTTTACCAGCCCCTTGCGCAGCACATCCCGCAGCCACGGCTTCAACGCGAAGGGTCGCTCCTCGCCCACTAGCGACACCACCAGGTTGGGGGCCGGCAGGTGCCACTCGGCCAGCAGCAGATCAAAAAGCACAGACGGGGCCACGCCGCTGGGCACCCTCACGAACTGCAGGGTGGGATCAGGGGTGCAGGCGAGGGGGCGCTAGGCACAGGGGTGGGCTGGGCTCCAGAGGGTGGGGGCAGGGTCGCAGCTGGAGGCCAGAGCTCCCCAGGCCATCTGGGCCGGCCCGCTGGGCAACCTGTGAGCGGCCAAGGATGGCTGGAGGCGGGGCCTGACCTGCCGTGTGTTGGGGTGGGAGGCAGGGGCCAGAGGGGGCTACCAGCTCGAGAATTCTGTCCTCCTGGGGGCTCTAAACAGACCCCTTAAGGGAGAGCGGCCTGGAGATGGGAGTCGGGGCCCGGGGTCCAGGGATCCCAGGGGTTGGTGCCGGCCAGTCCCCAGGTGGGGCAGCTCTCACCTTGCCTCGCTTCTTCCCGGACCCTCCGAAGACGATCTCACCCCGGCCCAGGCTCGGCCCCCGTGTGTCTCCAGCACCCCCAGGGCTGCCAGGACGGGTGCTCCTGGCGTCCTGCATGGGGTCCTCTCTGCAGGGACAGAGCCCACCCTGAGGGCACCAGGGGTCAGCCCCACCCCACTTCCTGCTGGAGGCCCAGCCGCCTTCGCAGGGAAGCCCGGGTGCAGGTGGAAAGAGGAGGCACCTGCCCCAGTGCCCTTCCGTGCAGTCCTCCAACCCTGAGCCTGACCGCCTGTGGCCCCTCGGTCTCGGCCTGCCTCCCGCCTGCATTGCCCTCCTCAAGCTGCCAGAGCCCCCGGCCCCAAGACGGGTGGAAGCTTCTCCTGGCCCCCTCCCCACCCCACGCTCCTACTCACTCTCCCCCAGCGCCACGAGCCAGCTGCGTCCGTTGCCACTTCTGCCGAGGCTTTGGCAGGGGGTGTCCTGGAAAGCCCGAAAGGCAGTGGAAGTCTGGCAGCCTGCCCCATACCCCCCATGGCAGAGCCCTGTCAACCCAGGACAGGCATGGGACCCTGGGCACCAGGTGCCCGGCGGAGAGGGGGTGGCAGGCAAGCAGGTGCACGAAGCTCAGGTGAGGAGAGACAGGGCCTCCTCCTTAAACCCCCGCCCTTCCCACCTCCCAGAGACCTGCCCACCGAGTCCTCACTCCAACCCAGCACTGCCCACGTGCCCGGAGGGGTCCCAGGAATGGCCCGAGGGACAGGACCTGGGTCCCATCAGCCTGCCTGACGGCAAACGCCCCCACACCTCCTGGACCCACTGCAGACCGGCCACCCAGCTCCCACCCCCCCGGCCATGGCCTGCATGGCCCCCCGCAACCTGCTGTCTCCGGCAGCCTCCTCTGCAGACCCAGTGGGGAGAGCGTGCCCACCCTGTCCCTGCACCCCTGTGTTCACAGAAGGAGCAGAGCCGATGGGACCCCAGGTCCCGGCAGACCCGATAGGCCCTGCCCCGCCGGACCCACCCTGGGAAGCTCTGGCTCCGCGCCCGCCCCGTCCACCGCTGTCCCCTGGGAGGTGCCCTGGGCAGGGCCCAGCCAGGATGGGCCCTTTGTGAAAGGAGGGCAACTCCCTCGGTTCTCAGGGCCAGACCAGCCCTTTGATTCTTAGTGAGGGGCCACCTGTGCACACAGGCGGGGCTGGCGGGTGTGGGCAGGGCCCCTGTAGGTCGCCGCAGGCCCACCACCGTGTCCCCAGAAGTGACGCATCCCCCAAAGTGACCCGTCCACGCCCTCGCTCCTGGGGCCTGTGAACACGCTTGTTGTGGAAGTAAGGCCTTTGCGGATGTGATCAGGGACAGGGGGGTCATCAGGATGGGCCCCGATCCACTGACCGAGGTGGCCTTGGAAGGAGGGGAAGAAGCCGAGTGAGGAGGCACACCGAGGCTGGAGGGATGTGGCCAAGGCCGGGGACGCCGGGGCCCAGGGAAGAGCAGGAAGGACGCTCCCCTGGCCCTGCCGTGGGGTTCCAGCCTCCTGAGCAGAGACGCCTTCCCCATGTCCTCCGCCCCCTCTGCGGGACTTTGTCACGGCTGCCAGGGCACTCCTACAGCCCGCGTTGTTCCCCCACACCCAGGCCCTGTCCCCACACACAGCCTCCTGGACTAGAGATCGTTAATCACCGGCTTGGAAAGGCCGTATTCAAATTCCCCCCATCCCGGCCCTGGGAGAGGGTGGGGGACGATTTGCATCTGACCCCCCACCCCACCCGCGCTGGGCCCACCCTGCTGGGACACACACAGGGTGTGGGGGGACCTGCATGCAACCACAGAGCTGGGCTGGGGGTCGAGGGGGGCTCGGCCTGGCCGGGGCTGGGGCACCCCTCTGCCCTGCCGCCCTGGGGGTCATAACTGCTGCAGAGCCCCAGGGCGCCCTAACGAATGACCCCCACCTGGGCGTCTTAAAGTGACAGGAGGTTCTGGAGGCCAGAAGCCCCAAATCAAGGTGCACAGGGCCCCGCTCTCTCTGCAGGCTCTAGGGCAGGGTCCTCACCCCGTCCAGCTCTGGGGGCTCCGGTGTCCCTCCAGTCTCTGCCTCCATCTCCCTGTCTCTTTATAAGGACACTGGTCATTGCTCGAGGGGCCGCCCCACTCCCTATGACCTCACCATCAGTCACTGCTTCTGCAAAGACCCTCTTTCCAAGCATTCTGAGATTCAGGGTGGATGTGAATTTGGGGGGATGCTCTTCAACCACAGAGTGTAGGTAATAACATGGGGAGCCTTCCCGGGGACTGAGCAGGGCCTGTGGGGATGGCCTCCCTCCCCACCGCTGGACGCGCCCCAGCCCAGTGTGGACGCTCCCTGGCCCAGTGTGGATACGCCCCGGCCCAGTGTGGACACGCCCTGGCCATGTGGATGCATCCTGGCCCAGTGTGGACGCTCCCCGGCCCAGTGTGGACACGCCCTGGCCCAGTGTGGACACGCCCTGGCCGTGTGGATGCATCCCGGCCCAGTGTGGACGTGTCCTGGCCGTGTGGATGCATCCTGGCCCAGTGTGGACACGCCCTGGTCCGGTGTGGACATGCCCCGGCCTGACATGTGTGGGGGGCCTGGGCAGCACTGGGGGGCTCATAGTCTGTGAGCCCCAGGCTTGCTCTGCCAGAGACGGGGGGCCTGGGGCTGGCCTCTGTCTCAGGAGAGGTGCTGTGGTGCTCTCCCCCACAGCCCACATCAGCCTTTCCTCGCTGATAGGCAGGTGGTCCTAAGCCCCAGTTTTGCCTTCCCTGGGGCCACCACCTGACCCCTCACCCACACCCTTCACCCCCGACCCCGAAGGCTGGGCCCTGGCCTCTGGCTTTCCAGCCCGGGGGCCAAGGGGCGGTGGGTCCTGTGCCGAGGGCTGGGGGGTCACTGAGCATGGTGGGGATGGCCCCGAGCACGGGGGTTGGGGGGACGCCGAGCGCTGGAGGGTGGGAGGGGCGCCAGGCAAATGGGGCTGTGGAGCGGGAAGGACATGCAAACAGCAGATTTGCATGAGCAGGTGTCCGGGGCTCGATGCCCCTGTTCCTGGAGGGGGCGGGGGAGTCCGGGCGCCCAGGGGTCCTGTGTCATCCCCGCTGGAATCCCACCCCCCACCCCTGACAGGCAGAACAGAATGGAGGGAAGCTCTTCAACTCCAGCAGTGAAGGCGCTGGGGCTCGTGCTCGGGGCGGACAGAGGGGCAGACAGCCAGCCTTGGTCAGGGGGTCGCTGGAAGCTACCCCAGTGCCGTGGACCTGGGCAGCCAGGCCCTGGGGGTCCCAGGCGGCCCCTCCCAGGGCCGTGTCACCAGGGCCAGCCCCTCACCGCTCAGGCCTGCCCCTCCCTTCTGAGATGGGAGGACGCGGTGATCAGGAGCGGTGCCCAGGGGTCCCACGCTCTGTAGCCAGCAGTCAGCCCCCAACCCAGACAGGCTCTGGCTGGGAGCATTGGCTCCCTGCATCCGGCCCCCAGGGCCCTGGGGCTGCACATCCTGGCCAGACCCTCTCCAGGCTCCTTTCCAGACCCCCCGCCCCACCCACTGAGGGACTGTCCGTCTGCACCCCCAGGAAGGCGGGACTCATTCCAGGGTCCAGGGGAGAAACCGAGGCACAGGGCAGGAAGTGACCAGGGGACAGGGCGCCCCCTCCTTCCCACCCCCCGGGGGCTGGTGGCCGGGCTCCTACCTGCCTGCCTTCTCCCTGAGGCCTGTAGTGTGACTGCCGGCCAAGGGGCGGGTGGAGGGGCCCACAGCCTGCCCGCCCCTCCCCGCCCACCACGCCTGGCACCCGGGCAGCCAATGCCGTGAGCAGAGCTGGGCACCACCTGACCTCAGCCTGGCCCGGCCCACAGGCCCTCTCTGGGCAAGCCATCGGGCACAAGGGCCAGCCGTCCCTCTCGAATGGGCCCAGGGACCCCTTGGGCAGCACCAGTCTCCCGTGGGGATGGCAGCGTTGCCCCTCCTGTGTTTCTGCTTGCTCCTGGGCCTTGCCCATCTCTCCAGCAGGTGGGAGTGGCTGATCCCAGGGGCTACAGCCCAGCCGGCCCTGGAGGAGGCAGAGACTGTCCCCTCCCTTCCTGGGTCTCACCAAGTGGAGAGGAGTCGGCCCCCAGGACTGCTGCCTCGGAGGGGTGGGCAGGCTGCCGTCAGCGAGCAGGCTTCGCGCGGACACTGTCCCTCCGCCGAGGAGCAGCACGGGGCCCTGGTTCACGCCCTGCAGACCCTTCTGTCTCTCTAACTCCAGGCCTTGGCTTCTCTGGAAAATGGGGATCTGAGCAGCTCGGCTTCTGGGCGTTTGCAGTAACACACGCAAGCAGGTGACAGATCTGTGCGCCCCTTCCCCAGAGACCCCAGGGCCCCCTCCGGGGTCCTCTCCTCCTCTGAACTCGGGGCTGGGTGGGAGGCCCAGTCCAGGCCCCGCTCTGGGATCCCTGGCAGCCTCGCTGGTCGGGTCCATCAGCCACCGGAGGGCACCCCAAGACCGCAGGCTGAGTCGGGGCTGGTGGACGAGGCCTGGCCGGCAGAGGCCGCTGTGTTTCTGGGCACGAGAGACTGTTGGGGCTGGGAGCGGCCAGAGCGTGGCCTGGAGCCCCACCACAACCCCCGGGGAGGGGAGGGGCCGCCTGAGATCCCTCAGGAAAGACTAGATTCCAGGTGAGTGGGGCTCTGGGACCCGACTCCACAAGCCCTTGGGGCCTGAGACTCTGAGGACCAGATTCTGGGGGGAAAATGCTGACCTGGGAGTTCCTGGGCAGAGGGCCAGACCCAGCCCTGGTAAGGGGGTGGGACTGGGTCACACACCCCTGCTGGCCTGCGGCCCGACCCCCCCACCGGGGGTCTTGCCAGTGTCCTGCCCAGGTGATGTGGAGGGTGAGGGGGCTCCCCAGACCCTCTGAGCCTGTGGGGCAGGAGGCACGTGGTGCTTCCCCTCCTCCCACCCTCTGCTCCAGTCCCTTTCCAGCCATGTCCACCCTAGTACCAGGCTGCTCTCCTCCCTGCCTGCAAGTCGCCATGGCTCCCTATTACCCAAGCAACGACACCCAGCCCTGAACCCACCGTGGTGGCCTGCCAGCTGCCCACCGCTCCAGCCATCAGGCCCGCCCC